TCATGGACATGGTCAGCTCAAAGGGTATTTCCTCAATGTGCATTCTTTTCTGAGAACCTCATTGATTGTTCTCCTGAGGCTGATTGTGAAAAAATGCCCTGCACTCACCCCATTTTGATAGACCAAAGACCTCATTTAAGGGAAATTAGATTTATTAGAGTTAAGATAAAGAAGATCAGATGACCTGAAATTGAAAGTCCTCTAAGAAAGCTCTGCAGTTGAAGGAAAAGAACATTTTAGAGGAGATAATGACAGCTGAGTCACCTGGCTTCCTGTGGCAAAGTCCATAGGATAACAACTGATAACCCAGTGCTGGGTGACTCTCGAGGCCTGCAACCAGGGTGCTTATACTTAGTTACAATTATAATTAGATATGGGGGAGATAAAAGATCAACCGAAGGACTTGTATGCATGCATATAAGCATAACCAATGGACGCAAAACTCTGGGAAGGGAGGGCATGTATGGGAGTGGAGGGGGGGAATTGGTAAGATATGTACACATATAATACCTTAATAAAAAAATGAAAGAAAAAAATAATAATATAATTAGAATAATGCATACATATAATTAAAAGCAAATACACCACCACTACCATCACCACACACAAAATGGCTTAAAAATAAATATGGGTAGCCGAAACCGGTTTGGCTCAGCGGTAGAGCGTCGGTCTGCAGACTGAAAGGTCCCAGGTTCAATTCAGGTCAAGGGCATGTACCTTGGTTGTGGGCACATCCCCAGTAGGGGGTGTGCAAGAGGCAGCTGGTCAATGTTTCTCTCTCATCGATGTTTCTAGCTCTCTATCTCTCTCCCTTCCTCTCTGTAAGAAAATCAATAAAATATATTTTAAAAAATAAAATAAATAAATAAATAAACAAATAAATAAATAAATATTGGTAGTATATACTTATTTATTCCACTCCTCCAAAATATAGCTGGTTGCCATAAAATGTGTTCCACTTTTTTCTATTTTCTAAAAGAGATTGTATAAAATTGGTGTTATTTTTTTAAATTTTTTAAATTTTAAAAAAGATTTCTTCAGTGTAACTATCTGGACCTGGACATATCTTTTTCAAAAGAACTTTAATTACAAAGCCAATTTGTTTTACAGAGGTCATCTATTTAATTTTTAGTGAATTTTGGTAATTTATGGTTTTCAAAGAACTGGCCAATTTTTTTTCAGTTGTAATATTTATTAGCATAAAGTTTTTCATAATATTCCCATGTTATTCTTTTAATGTCTACAGGAGCTATAGTGATATCCCTTTTTTCATTGCTAATTTTAATAACTGTGTCTTCTCTCCTTTTATCTTTGTCCATCTTATAGACTATAGAGGTATACCTTTTATGTCTTTTAGTTGATTTTAGAGAGGAAGGGAGAGAGTTGGAAACATCAATGATGAGAGAGAATCATTGATCAACTCCCTCCTACATGTTCCTTATCAGGGATCAAGCCTGCAACCTGGGCATGTGCTCTGACCAGGAATTAAACCATGACCTTCTGATTCATAGGTCGATGCTCAACCACTAAGCCACACTGTTGGATTAAAGGTTTTTCTTTTAAAAGAATCACTTATTTATTTTATTTATTTTTATCTATAATTTTTGTTTTAAATTTTATTTATTTCTGCTCATACCTTTATTATTTTCTTCTTCTACTTGCTTTAGAGTTATTTTGCTTTTCTTTTCCTAGAAAATTATAATAGAGGCATAGATTATTTATTTTAAAATGCTTTTCTTTTTAACATAAGTACTTAATTTTATAAATTTTCCTGACAGCACTCTTTTACCTACATTCCACAAATTTAATGTTGTGTTTTCAATTTTGCTCAGTTAAAAATCTTTTCTACTTTCCCTGAAATGTGTTTACACAAACAATTTTAAATGTCAATTTGATCCATTTGGCTGATCAAATAACTGGTGTTATTCAGTTCTTTTATATCCCTGCTGATTTTCTTTCTATTATCGATAGTGTTGACAATTGTTGGTTTGTTCATCAATCCTTATAGTCCTGTCAGCTTCATATGTTTTAAAATTTTATTTTAGGTGTTACATACTTATGATTATTATGTCTTCTTGGAGAATTGACTCTTTTATCATTATGTAATGTCTCCATATGTTCCTGGCATATTTTTTCGCTCTAAACCCTGCTTGGATATTAATATAGACTACCATTGTTATATATATGCAAACACACACACACACACACACACACACACACACACACACACACATAAATTTCCTGGTCCCTAATATATCAAAACTTGGGATTTAATCCTGAGCATTGTGAATATTATGAGATTCTGGTTGTTGTTTGAATTCTATCAGTAGAATTCAAAGCAACAAAAAGAAAAGAAATCTCAGACCAATATCTCTTATGAACATAAAAGACAAAATCATCAACAAAATGTTAGAAAATTGAATCCAGACACATACAAAAAGGGTTTCAAACAATTACATCAGATTGATTGGTCATAACACATTTCTGGTCTCACACCCAGAGTTTCTTATTCTGTAGGTCTGGGACCAAGACCAATAATTTACATTTCCAACAAATTGCAGGCGATGCTGATTCTGATGCTGTTGGTTGAAGATCCACTCTTCAAAACCACTTCTTTCAGGAAAAGAGAGGGAACATCATAAACTTTCATTTGCCATGGAAAGCTCTTCAAATGAGACTATTCCGTTCTGCAATCTGATTGTCTTTGTTTTCACCTCTCAATTCCTTACTTGAGTGAGACCATTTTATTTATAAGATCATGAATACAGGCTATCAGAATGGATAAATCAGCCAATTACAGCTTTCTATGAAGTCAGAGAAAATTTAACAACCTCCCCTAAACAGTGAGAGGTATGGTGGTATTATGAATTTTCATAATTTTGTTCACACAAATAAAAATATTTTAGGTTTCACTCATCCTGTCTTGATCACACACACACACACACACACACACACACACACACACACCTAGTCATTCCTAGTGATTTCTGGCAAAAAAAACTTTTCTGATTAATTACATAGGTACATCCTGTTGTCAGAATCTCCCTCTTCCCTTTATCATTCCCCATCCCCAATCCACACAGGAGCAACTTTCTTTTTCTTTTTTAATAGGAGCGATTTCATAGAGAAGATGGCTGAGATGGTTTGCATCATCCAACCCAACATGATATAAAAATGAACCAAACAAAAATATCGTGCATTTCCAGTCACCCTTTCTGAATCTGCTCTCAACTTCAGAACTCTTAAACATCCCCTTGCATGAGAGTCAATCCATCTTGCCTATTCCCTCCTGAATTTGTCTCTGATGGGACATCAAATTCCTCCCAGTCTCATAAATTAGGCAGAGTTTTTCTCTTCCTCGTGGAAACTAGGCACCAGCTCCAAGCTCAGGTCCAGGAAGCCTGTTTCTATTCCTCCAACGGGCCTATAAAATCCATCTCCCAAAATAGCCCAGTCCCTTCTGAGTAAAGAGTTCTAATAATAACCTCTAAGAAGAGAAAACACTTAACTTTGTGACATGGGAGTCACCGAAGAGATTATTTGTTTTGGGTTCTCAGTACAGTTTACTCTAGTCTTCCATGTTTTGTTCAACATGAAAGCCCAGAACATCAAAGTCCACAGTGAGTGTGGAATTTGTTGCAAGCATTGTTTCCTCTAACAGATCCGTGGGGTTCCCTGTGGCCTTTCCTCCCTGTTCTCACCAATAAGAACATGCAGCACCATGTGGACTGTGCAGGGTCCCAGGGCAGCATCCCCTGTCCCAACTCTTCCAGTAGAGCGGTCTCAGGGCCAACCAATCCTGCCCGTTTAACTGAGCTAAACTATAGGCTCACACATTAGCCAGCTCCCATACTCAATAGCTTGGAGGATTGTACCCTAAGTCACTCAAACAGGCCAGCTGAGGTTAGGAGGTGACCCATATGTCAGGTGAGTTCAGCAAGTGGCCCCAAGAAAGCCATAGTGGACACAGGAAACAACTAGAGCAGTGGAAATTCCCTGTGCCTTATTGCCCAGGTCACAGTCCTGCATCCCAGTAGCACTCCATTCTGTTCAAATGGTGTTTTTCTTACATTCTCAAGACTGAATCTGACCTTCTATTTCCATTGCTATCCCTGTGGCTCCAGCTCATAAAATTGTCTTTGGACCTCTGATTTATTTTTCTGTTGTCTCTCTGGTTCTCCACCCTCTGTGAGAATGACTGTCCTGTTCGACCTCTACCTTTACTGGACTAACAGGATGGGATAGAATACTGACTGAAAGCTTTGCCTTCCCCAAGATATTATCAAATATTGTAAAGACTACACTAGGAGCAGCTATCTCTGGAGAACAAGGTGTTCAAGGCCATTCTTAAGGAGGTTTTGGTTCCTGACATGAAGCTACCACTGCCATTAACTATTTCACTTAAGAATATGCCATAATTACCCAGTAATTGTTACTACTATTACTTTAAACAGTTAGCTTTTGTATCAATTAAGAATAAGAAAAATATTCTATTTAACTCCATTATTACTTCACCAACGCTTTTTACATGTATTCAATACATCTGTTTCTCATCTATATCACTTCCCATTTTACCTGAAGAACTTTTAAAACATTTTGTTTTCAGGAAAGGTCTTCCAGTGAAGAATTTCCTCAAAAAAGGTTTTATTTCTCCTTAACTTTTGGAGAATAGCTTTGCAATACATAGATGGTATATAGAGCCACATTTTTCACTGTGAAAGCAGGAGTTAACAGATAAGCAAGGGAATAAAACTAACATGTTCCATACAGTAATGGATTGGGGTTTGGAAAATAGTATAAATTCATTAGATTAATATAAATACATATCAATATACATACACAGATAGGTATACACTTGCATTTATACAAATGGGTTAGTGCTAACCCACATGTAGGTTTCCATTTGTATATTTCCTTCCTCTGATCACTGAGGGGTCTAGAAGCAAGGACAGCCCAGAACCAAGGAACACACCTGGCACCCACATCTCGGTTTCTAATACCACCTACACTAAAAAGAAACAGGGCTCCGTGGGAAAATGGCTGTTTCTAGGACTGGGGCAAGATGGGCTAGGGCACATTGTAGTGCCAAGAGTTAGGAAATGCTTAAACAACAATAAAACATATCGCTAGAGGTATGTCAAAGTGAAACAGCAGCCAACGGAAGGAACTCCCAATGGCCTAAGCTGCAACAATTTGAGCAACAAAATAAATATTATGATATGGGATTATAACCCAAAGTATAAAATAAATATCCATGAGTCCACACTCATGTCAACACATCATTGAGTAAATAAATAAATGGAAAGAAGAAAAAAATCTCCCATGCAAAATATTCCAAATGATTTATGTAAATAATTCTCAAGGCAGTGGGTATAACTCTCCATGTCTTGAGTGTGTGTGCCCATAATGACTTCCTTCCTCTCAAAGAGTTCTATATACAAAGGGGGGAAAGGGCTCTGGGAAATACTTCCTCACCCAGGTGATCAAGGCCAACATCAATAGTGATGCTGTGTTGATATCATTTACCTTTGATATGATGTGATGAGAAGGGCTCTTTATATCTATGATATTTCTCCCAAGAACCCCAAAAGCCAGCCTACTCATAAGAAAAGCATTACATAAATCCCAGTAGAGGGGCATCCTAAAAATATAAAATATACCTCACCAAAATTCCTTAATACTGTCAAGATCATAAAAACAGGGAAAGTACAAGAATCTGTCATAACCAAGAGGAGCCTAAGAAGACATGATGACTAAACGTAAAGTGGTACCTGAACAGGTTTCTGGATCAGAAAAAGGACATTCGATAAAACTAAGGGATTGTAAATAAAGTATGAATTTTCAATAAAACTGGTATAACCATATCAGTCCATTAATTTTGGCAAATGTATCATATTAATTTAAAATGTTAAAAAATAGGAGACACTGGGAGTGGAGTATATGGCAACTCTATACTATCTTCAAAATATTTTTGTACAATGTGGGAAAGTCCCATAAGTGGAGCAGAAGACCAATTATAGGACATTGCAAGAAACCAGTAATAATTCATTCTAAAAATATAAATTTATTTAAAAGCAAATGCCCATAAACTTTTGGATGAAAAGGGCAATTCAATTCAAGTGAGGAAACATTTTCAATCAAAACTTTTTTCCCAGATGCATACTTGATATACAAAATGTTGAACTATTAATGTTCATGTACAAACTAAATGAGCTCTGCATTCACCCAACAATGCTCTTCTCAAAAGAAAACGCCCCTTCTGTTTTGGTCAGGTGATTGCCCAGGACCCAGTCTCTCAGAGACAGCTACATCATTCTCAGCTATCACTGCAGTGTTCACTCATCCTGAGTTCTATGCTGAACTCCCTGGATGGATTATCACCCCATCATTGTGCAGATAAGGAAGAGGAAAGGAAGTCACTCCTAGGTGCCTATTCAGCATTCATTCCCCAGCAGAATATTTTGTTCAGGGCAGCAATGGACCTGCCCTGAGCTGAGGGTTTCAGTGTACGCTTTGACTCCCAGGGTTAGTGCCACCTTCCTGCTTCTTTCCTCTGTTTGCCTGGAATGCAGCCACCAGGCTGGAGGAGAGCAGCTGGCTGTAAATAAGAGGCTGTAGGCAAGAGAACAAAAGCTCTCCTAAGGGTGGTGGCATGGAAAGAGAGAAACCTAGGACACAGGTAATGCTGGGGGCCTCTGAGCCAGCCTGAACACCTATTTGGGTGAGAAAACAAACCCCTAATTGATTAAGCCATCCAGTGTGTTCCTGCTCTGTGAATTGAGCACAACTCCAGTAGGAAAACTATGTAACTTGCCAAGTCCTCTCACATAGGACATGACACACCTGGCTCCAAGTCAGGTTGGTGCGACTCCAAAGCTTTGAACTGCTGTGTTTTCCTTCCTCTTGCACTTGTGGATATGGTTCATCATTAACTGGTTCACTCTAGGTCTTCCTAGCTCCTGATTTTCAATATTGACTTTATAATTGAGACACAACGGACTACTCCTAGGCTCACCTTCTGCCTCTTTCTGTTCCTGGCCACCTCAGGTAGCAAACCCAGTCCCTGAGAGCTATCAGGGAGGAGGCACCTGGTCCCCTGAGATGTGGGGCTCAAACAAAGCGAGCTGTGGAACCATGCACTTTTAAAAATATGTTTTAATTTATTTCAGAAAGGAAGGGAGAAGGCTAGGAAAGTAAAACATCAATGAGAGAGAAATATCAATTGGCTGCCTCCTACATGCCCCCATTAGGGATTGAGCACACAACCCAGGCAAGTGCCCTGACCAAGAATTAATCTGGTGATCTCTTAGTTCATGGGTCAACACTCAACTACTGAGCAACACCAGCTGGGCCATGAGCTCTCTCTCTTTTTTTTTTTTTTTCCTTAATTACATTTTACTTTCAATTTTTTTATTTTTTTATTAAAGTATTACATATGTGTCCTATTCCCCCATTGCCTCCCCACCCCCACTCACGATCTCATTCTCCTGGTGTCTGTGTCCATTGGTTAGGCTTTGATGCATGCATACAAGCCCTTTGGTTGATCTCTCCCCCTTACCTCCACCCTTCCTTAACTTCCCTCTGAAGTTTGAAGGTCTGATCCATGCTTCTCTGTCTCTGGATGTGTTTTTGTTCATCAGTTTATGTTGATCATTATATTCCACAAATGAGTGAGATCATGTAATATTTATCTTTCTCTGACTGGCTTATTTTGCTTAGCATAATGCTCTCCAGTTCCATCCATGCTGTTGCAAATGGTAAGAATTCCTTCTTTTTTACTGAGCATAGTATTTTTAAGTTTAGCTCCAATTCAGCACAATACCCTCATTGGCCCTTTGACCTTGCTATGGGATAGCTATTCCTGCTAAACCACCTCTCTCATCCCCCTACACAAATCTTAACTAAGCTAATCACCACATCAAATAATAAGTTAGCTTGACCTCGGATGCCTGTATTTTAAGGAGGGAAGATGAGGACAGCAGAGACCGTGGGCACAGGGCAGGCAGGGAGCACACTGTTGAGAGAATACCACCCCCCCTGCCTTCCTCATCATCTCCTCCCTGCCTCACCTGCACCAAGCCCTCCTTTCTCTCCTGTCTTTGGTTAATACTATTTTCGCCACATTACTGACAGCTTCTTTGGGGGCAAAATAAAATAATAAAGGCCACTAGCCCTGGGTTGAGTCCTCTATTCACCTTTATCTACCCAGGGTTGCCAGAACCTCCATGGTGCTCTGTGGATGCAGCCTATGTGTCCTGAGTAGTGGTGATTGGTCTGACGTAGGCAGACACCAGGACCCCCTTCCAGAACCAAAGCACCATGCACCTGAGCACTGGATTCCTCCTGATGGCCCCACCTCTTCCACTCTGAAGCCTGGACTCTCATGGCTAAATCCAAATCACTCAGAAGCCAGGTGTGGGCTGCTCAATTTCATCCCTGCAAACCCAGTCCCTGAGAGCTATCAGGGAGGAGGCACCGGATGAATATTCAAGGAATTAATGAGCAGATAAGTACCTCATGTGCAATTAGCCCAGCCTCCCTGCAGAGATTCAGCTCCTTGTGTCTGCTTGCTCCTGGCCATCGCCACCTGATGACAAATGGGCACCCCATGCTTAGCCGTTCCTTGGTAGAGCTTTGTCAACCCAAGCCTGTTCTTCCTCGGGCTTATGAACAATATTACACTCAGTCTCCAGGTTTCTCCGTTGGAAGTGCTAAATCTCCTCTGACTCTTCCTTCTCTCCTTCCTCCTCATCCATTTTCACAAATCTATCCTAGCCCAGCTGTTGCCTCTCTGGACTGTCCACCACTTCTCTGTGTGGTTATCCACATTTCTATATTCTGTGTATTTGATGTTCTCATGGGTGGCCGCCCTGCCTTCCTCCCTCTCCAAGCTCATTGGAGAATAGTCCTCCCGCCCACTTGATTTTCAAGGTCCATCCTGAAAGCTCTACTTTCCACTTAACTTCCCCTCATCCTAAACTTTGAAAGTAGATTATTTCATTCTGAAGTCCCAAAGACGTGCATCTGTCTTTCTCCTGCTAATAGCACCCTTTCGTTTTCTGCCTGACCATGCACTGTATTATGCACACATCTTTTCTAAATTGCCTTTGGGGTAGGACCATCTCTGCACCCTGTAAGGTATTGAGGCCACACATTTTTTATTGTGTGCACCCAAGAAGGAATGCATGAGTGAATGAGTGAATATGTAACAGTATCCCAGAGCTAGAAGCAATCTACCCAACCCTAAGCACCATAGCCCATTACAGAATACCCTCTGTGAAAGGAAACAAACTGCTCAAGGTCTCACTCCTTCCTTATGGCAGTGTTAGCTATGACCAAAACAATGTCAGGTTTGCAGCCATAAAACAAACTGATAATTGGAATTCTAGCTCTGATCTTTCATGCTTGATACATAAACAATACAAAAGCTAATATTGATTAAATTATCAGCATGTTCAGATTCTGCTAGGAGCTTCAGGTGAGCTCATTCACATGATTCTCATAAGAATTCTACAAGTTAAGGATATTTTTTGCCCCACTTTTTAAGTGACCCTGAGTCTTAGACTAAGCAACTTCCTCAAGTCCCATATTTGTTAAATATTTGAGAAAAAAATGTGAATCCACTTAGTCTCACATGTGAAGCCACACTATAAGCCAACATATTAAGTTCCTCAGACTCTCTGGACCTCAATTTTACCATCTGTAAAATAGGCATAGTAGTAGCATGCCATTATGGCATAAAATATACATGATATAGCCTAATAGTCTGCATCATGCTCTGTCATTTAATTAAGTCTGCAGAGATCTGAATGTTCATCTTACATGTGCTTCCATCTCCACACCCCTAAGTGAGGAGAACTTAAATACCAGACAGTAGAGAGAACTATTATATTCTGGGTATACTATGCTGAGTCTTCTGTCTGAGATTAGTTAATATCCAATTGGTTTTGCTCTGTGCTGGGTGATGTGCTCATTGACATGTGGTGCCATTGGCATGATCATTGACAT